TTCCTTCCTTCCTTCCTTTCTTTCTTTCTTTCTTTCTTTCTTTCTTTCTTTCTTTCTTTCTTTCTTTCTTTCTTTCTTTCTTTCTTTCTTAAAAGAAGCCAGGTGTGATGGTGCACTCTTGCCATCCCAGCATTGAGAGAATGCGGCAGGAGGTTCCAGCACAGTCTGGGCAACTCACCAATTAACTGAGACCTTGTCTCAAAATAAAGGGCCGGGGATTTAGCTCAGTGGTCCCACCGCCTGCCTCAAAAGCACAAGGACCCGAGTTCAATCCCCGGTACCAAAAAAATAAATAAAATAAAAATATTTGGATGGTGCTGAGTGCAAAGACCCTAGGTTCAGCCCCTCCCCAGCACCGCTAAATGGAATAAAAGGAGAAGACACAATGAGCGGCCGAGTCACAGGGCAGCGAAGGACAGCCAGGATCCTGGACTCCAGCCCCTCCCCACCTTGACTCCTGTCCCAAAGCCGCTGTGGGGCACAGCAGCTCTTACCAGGCAGTCGACCTTAGTGACGTGCCGGGCCAGCGTGTGGGCGTCCACCTCGGCCAGCAGCTCCTTCACCTTGCGCAGCAGGCTCACCTCCAGTGGCCGGTTCTCCTTGGGGATCAGCAGCGACTGGAAGGTGGTGGGGTTGAAGGAGGAGGTGGCTTCCATGACGGGCGCAGTGAAGCCCTTGCCCCTGTCCCCTTCGGGGCCCCCGCCTTCCGACAGTTCCTTCAGCCTCTCCCCGTAGCTCCGAGCTTGGCGGCTAGAGGGTTCCACCGCGGCCCACTCCAGGCTGGTGCGCGCGGGAGGCTGCAGCTGGCAGTAGTGGCCAGAGTCCTGGTCGCTGTAGCTGCTGAGTGACGGAGACGGGGAGGCCTTGCCGAGACTGTGATTGGGGCTGGCGTGAGGGGCCTTGTCCGACTCCCGGAGGGGCTTTGGGGCACTTCCGGGACACAGCTGGGGCTCACTGGAGCGGCGGGCGACGGGAGAGGGAGAGGCGGGGAGCCCATCGGCGGAGGGGGCTGTAGGGGTGGCGTGGACACGGGTGACTGCGGGGAGGAGACAGAGGACCGGTCACCGCGGCGCCCAACAGTGGGGCCCCTGGTCCCCGCTCGCCACTAGGGTGATGCCCACCTCCCGAGTGGTTGGAGACCAGCCTTCCCGACTCTCTGAGGGCCTTGGCCCCTGCCCTGAGCTAGCTGCTGCACCGCGGGAGCCCGGCCGCCGGGCGGGACTGTTCCAGTGGGGGAGCAGCAGTGATTTGTGCAGGTCTGCCCAGAGCTGGCGACTTACTGGAGGCAACACCAGTGAACAAGACTAAAGGTACCGGCACAAGCCAGAGGTGAGGTTGCCCACCTGCGATCCCAGCACTCCGGGAGGCGGAGGCAAGAGGCCTGCAAGTTCGAGCCCAGGCTGGGCAACTTAGTGACTAAGCCAGGCCCTGTCTCAAAATGAAAATAAAAATCATCTGGGGATGTAGGCCAGGGAGAAGGCCCTGGGCTCAATCCCCAGGACGACAAAACGAAACTGGAACTGGAGCTGGGAGGCATTGAGCTCTTACTGCCCACAAAGTCTTCTCTGAACATTGACCATTTACCTCTCCCTGCATCCGGGGAAGGAAGTGCTTTTTTGGTCGTTCTTCTATAGAGGAGAAAGCTGAAGCTCAGCATCTCAGGGACCAGCCCAAGGTCACCCAGTCTGCCAGTGGTAGGGCTAGGATTTAAGTCTCGACCTCTGGGCTACTTGACTCTGGTGTATTACTTGGAGATTGTCCCATAAATCATTTCTGGTAAGGAGTTTTATTTTGTTTTGTTTGTTTCTTTTGTTTTGTTGAGACAGGGTCTCACTATGTAGCCCAGGCTGGGCTTGAACTCTTTTCAATCCTCCTGCCTCAGCCTCTAGAATACTGGGATTACAGGCGTGCGCCACCACGCCAAGTTGGTAAAGAGTTTTTGGGGGGTTTTTTGGTACCGGGGATCAAACTCAGGTCCTTGCGCTTGAGCAGCAGGCGTCAAAATCACTGAGCTAAATCCCCGGCCCTGGTAAAGAGTTTTAACTTTCACACTTGAATGTATTGTTTGGAAGGTAAGTTCGTAGCTATGACAAAGTTGATGGCTTGTGTTTAGGGCGGGACTTGTGGTGAGCCATAGAGACAGCAACCCTCCAACAGAGCACCTTGAAGCCCAGGAAAAGCTTCTGCTGGGAGTCATGTGCTGCCCACATGACTTTACCTGCCTCATGGACAAAACAGCCAAATGAAAAACAAAAACAAAAACAAAATATAGCCAATTGAAAAGTCTTTTTTTTTTTTAAACCAGCAATGAACTGGGGCATGTTTCTATGGAGTGAAAGTGGAAACTTTCTGTGTATTTATAAGAAAGCACAGCTGGGCATGGTGGTGCATGCCTGTAATCCCAGCACTTTGGAGGCTGAGGCAGGAGGATTGCAAATTCAAGCCCAGCATGGGCAACCTAGCCTAACCCTTCCCGACTCAAAAAATAAGGATATAACTCAGTGGGAGAGAGCCCCTGGGTTTGATTTCTAGTACCACCAAAAAAAGAAAAAAGAAAAAAGAAAAGTAAGCACAGTTCTTTGTATTTTGCAACGTTAACTCAGCTGTAAACTTTAAACTGCTCAAAAAAAAAATCTATTAAAAAACAAAAAGCATGGGCCAGGGATTTAGCTCAGTGGTTCCGGCGCCCGCCTTGCAAGCGAAAGGTCCCAAGTTCAATTCCCGGTACCAAAAAACAAACAAACAAACAAACAAACAAAAAAGCAAAGCATGGCCAACCTGTTTGGAGCCAGGATTGCAACCAGCAATAGATACACTAAGTCAGGCCAAAGCCATGGGGACTGGGTCAGTGGAGCTGAGCCATGGTGTGTAAGTGCCCATCACAGCACTGAGACTTAGGGCTCATGTGTAGCCCAGGGTAGCCTTGAATTCAATGGCGATCCTCCTGCTTCAGCCTCCCAGTGCTGGAACTACAGGTGTTCGCCACCACGAGCGGCCTTTTCAGAGTGAATTCTTACAGGCTGCTGCTCTCAGAAAAGAGGCAGAAACAGCCAACCAGAAGCCAAGGTCCCTGCCCACCTGCGCCCCGCCGTACCTGTGCTGTAGGCGGGGGAGCTGGGGCTCTCGGAGATGGGGGAGAGGGGCGAGTGCAGGTCCGGGATCTGGTCCATACTGAGGGCGCAGTTGCGGATGGAGTCCCGGGAGTGGGGCAGGGATGCGCTGTGGACAGATGTTCTCGTGAGCAGGAGCCCAGAGTCCCGGGCCTCAGCCCCTCTCTGACACCCCCACCTGTGTCCCCTGAACCTCACAGGCAGAAAAGGCCTGGAGATTCAGACTCTCAATGGACAGAACAAAAACAGAAGCCTCGAGGAAGGGCTGGGCCCAGTGGGCACAGTGGTCACCAGCCAGCACTGCCAGCCTCTGCTCCACGCACAGGGCTCGGAATCAGTGTTGCCTGTTATCCTGCTCTCTCTGTCCTGACCCAGCATCCCCCTCACACACCCCAGACCAGCCTAAGAGCACAAGGCTTGGGGACCCCCACTGAGCCGAGGCCCCTCAGTCCCCTTGCTGTCTCTCCTGGCCCCAGGAGGAGGATAGGCAGGGACAGACAGACAAAAACTCTGCTACCCAAATTGCCTTTGTGTGAGTTCACAATTGCACCCATTCTCAGGGTAGACACGGCACCTCACTACTTCCCTCAACATCATAAGTAGAGGGCAAGATGGATTTTAGCTCCCTCCACTGTCCTTGGGATGAGGACAAAGAGGATTTGTGCAGTCCACAATCTGCACAACTGTTCCTTCCTGGGAATCCTGGCCAGAGGAACCTTGGAGAACTATCTGGGGAGAGGGCTAGCAGGAAGGAGGAGACACTGGGGAAGCCAGGGCAGTCAATCTGGTCCCTCTTGCCTGCTCCCACACACTGCCTGCCTCAAGCACATGTGTCCTGTGGATCCTAGGACCACATGCTCACTGGCTCCAAACCACAGGTCAAGTGGCTGCTGCCCGCAGGAATCCACCATTAGTTCTTTGGCTGACAGCATCCAATCAGACCTGGGGAGGGTGGTGTAGGCCCACCTAGATGCTGGTGACAACGGGCTGTGACCTCTTTGCAAACAGCCTGGGAAGCCACAGAAATAGGGCCAGTCTATTAGGGGAAATTAGACTGGAATCCACAAAGCTGGGTTCAAATCTGCATACTACCACTTGCTAGCAATCGGCTTCCCCTTCCAAGCCCATCTTTTCCTCTGTAAATGGGGGTACAGCCAGCGGGCTTGGGGTGGGAACTGACCAGACCGGGCCTGGATGGCACCCAGCACAGGGCCAGGCACAGTGGGGCCTTTGTCTAGGGGCAACAGTGTCATTACAATGTTACCATGAAGCTTCCAGTCCCTAAGCAGTGGTTTCCACCCTGCAGAGCCCTCTGCTCTACTGCATGCCTGGGCCTGGCTGGCAGCGGGTGGCACCAAGACCAGGGCCTCTGGTTCAGGACAGCACTCGGGCTCCCCCTCTGCAATGAAGGGCTGCTGGAGTGAGGGGGGACACATGGAGGTGCGGGGTGGGGAGGGACAGGGCCAGGGGCACCCAGCCAGCAAGTGCCACACCTGTCCCCAACCTCCAAACACCTGACACAATGCTCCCCTGTCCCCTGCACACTGAGTGTCACGGAGAGAGTGACCAGCTGTGTGGGCTGGGTCCCCTCCCCCAGCACGCTCATCACAGAGTCCCCCATTGCACTGCAAGGCCCCATATGGGGTCCCAGCTGACCTGGTGGGGCAGCCATCGCCGAGAGTGACCTTGTCAGCGGTGAGCCCATCTGTCATGGTGACGCTGCGCCGCTTCATGTGGCTGCCCTTGGTCCCTGTGGGGCTGGCGGCCTTACCACCGGCCGGGCCCAGGCCGTAGCTGGCTTCGAGGTAGCGCAGCGGGAAGGTGCGGTTGACCGGGCAGTAGATGATGGCACCGCTCTGCTCTGACACGGCTTTGCGGCTGCCCACGTGGTAGCGCACCAGGGCGGGCACGTGGTCGAAGCTCTCCTGCTCGAACAGGTACTGGATGTGGGTGTAGCTCTCGCCCGCCTTCACCACCACCTTGTTGATCTTGAAGTGCAGGGCCTGGTTGCGCCAGCGGCACGTGAGCACATAGTCACCCAGGCTGGTGAGCGAGTCCCGGATGAGAAAGTCACCATTGCGCTGCACCAGGGTCTCTGAGACCTGCAGGAGGCATGTGTGGGTCAGGGACATGGGGACTCGGGACCAGCAGGGGACACCACAACCAGACCCAGGATGGGGGCAGTGAACAGTGACAGTGTGAATGAAAGGAGTAAGTGCAGGTTGGAGTTGGTAAAAGTGATAAGAGCAAAGCCAAGGTTCACCAAGCTCACAGGGGCCGGACGTCACATTAGCACTTTCCCTGCCTTCTCCCACTTCATTCCTGACAACCCTTTGGTAGGTACTGAGTCTCCTCTGCTTCACAGACTGGACACTGAGGTTCAGAGAGAGGGAGTCAGCCCAGTCCGGGCCTCAGCCCAGACCACTCGGGTTGTGCCTGCCTGGCCACAGTCAGAGCCCCTCTGCTAGCTGAAGCCAGAGCCCGGGTAGCCAAGGTGTGGGCAGCGGGGTGCGCTCACCTCTCGGGGGATTCGGCCATGGTACCAGGCATGGCTTCGGAGGTCCGTGCTGCTGAGTTTCAGCTCTTCCTCCAGCTCCTTATGCAGTTTCTCTGGAGAGGAGTCCAGGATGTACTTCTCCTTGGAGAACTGGGTGGGAGAGGTAAGAGTTGGCAGCCGATTCAAAGCTGCTCTTCCTTTTCTCACAACTTCCCACTGCACCGAGGACCCCTCCTCTCCCCAAATTCAGGAACTGTCACTCTCGGGTGCCCGAAAAGTCCTCACTAATGAGTGCCAGACCCAGCTGGAGCAAAGCAATCTCCATTAATGCCACTAAACCAGGCCTGCCACATTCCACATCCTGGATTAGATGCTGGAGTGGATGCACTGATACATAAACCAAGCTGTGTCCTCAAGGAAGGGCTTAAGGAAGAAGCAGGGCCCAGGCAGCTTCTTCCGAGCCGCCTGCGGTCAGCACCACGGTACTGGACAGCGGCAAAGAGCCGCGTGGCTTTTAGGACAGCGACTCCACCTGGGCAAAGTGGAGAAGTCTGGGAAGCCTTCCCGGAGGAGATGGCCAGCAGGCCATGGGCACCAGCGACACCAAACTGATCCTGCAGTGGGAGCGGAGAGGATTTCCACGGGTGTATGTGGGAGAGGAAGCAGCAGATACTGAAGGCCAAGGCAAGGACCGGCGGAGAGCTGGGTGGACAGCACAGTCTGGGAGAGCAAGTTGTACAGAGGAGGATAGGGAAGCAGCCATCCACAGGCACAGGGGACCCTGCGGACATCTCCATTTGCAATTCTGAAGGTCCCTCCGCCTTGCCTCTCAAGCAACCCTTGCCAGTCGGGGAAACTGCAGCCCAGCGGAGAGGCCCAGCATCATTCTTGAGAAAAGCCCAGGGCGCTGCCCTCCCACCCACCTGGGGTCGGACGTCAGAGCCCACCCAGCCAGGAGCCCTGAGGCCAGGAGGAAGGGAGCCCTGCTGCCAGGTGCACCCCACAGAGACCCCAGCCCAGCCCTCTGGGGCCACGTGAACTGCTGGCCTCCACTTCCTCCTCGGTAAGATGGGTGCAGCGAGAGCTGCCTCACTGACTGGCCAGGGCCACTGCAGAGCCTTCGCTCTGCCCCACAGACATCTTTCACCGCGAGGACAGGGGACATTCCTGCCTCCCCCAGCTCCAGCCCCCGGTCCGGGCTGCTCCAGGATGGGCGGACTCCAGAGCTGGCCAAGTGAGAGGAGCAGAACAGGACAGCCTCCCCCTGCACACCTTGCTCCCCAAAGCCCTAGTGTCCTGCACCCACTCCCTGGCTCCTCAGGTTCCCTTCCCGGCCCCCCGGCTCCCACACCACCGGGGGCTCCCTGATCGACACTGCTTCCCAACACTGATCCCCAGCTCAGGAACAGCTAGGCCCTCTCACTCCACACCTTTGCTCTGGTTCTGTGTGGCTGCTGAGGCCCTAAGGTGACTGGGATGGTCCTCTGCCCCAGGGGAGCCCATCCAGGTACCCACAATCAACCCTGAGTCTTATGAATGCTCAGAGGTGCACGGTGAGTCCCTCGTCCCATTGGGGCAGAGTTGGGGTGCCTTCCCAGAGAAGGTGGTGTTGCCACTGAGGCTGAAGGGCCCTGGGGAAGCCAGCAGAAGGAGGCAGGGGAGAGGCAGGTGGGAGGAGAGCAGTACAGTTGGGGCCCTCAGGGCAAAGCCAAGGGCTGGGGCCATAGGCACCAAGGGCAGGAGCGGCTGGGCTTCAGGGGTGCCCTGGGGAGTTGGGAGTCACCTGGAAGCCACAGCTGAGCCACGGCAGGAAGGCTCAGGGCTGGGACAGGTTTGCTGGGTGTGGAAAGCACCCAGGGTCTTCAGCAATGGCAGGGTGGGGTGCGGGGTGGGGAGAGGGAGGAAGAAGGGGAGTTCAGTGGCTGTTAATGAGGTGAGGGAAGAGGCCATGATTCAGGTTAAAATTCTGGGAGGACAAGGGGATACTGCTGCAGTGGGCAAGGCTGGGAGGGGCAGTTTGCCAGTGCACCCATGAAAACGTGGCCTGCGAGGAGCCGGCATGCTCTGGGGACAGACGGTGGTGCGGGCGGCTTGCGTGGGTGCTCAGGGAAGGCTGACCTAGCAGAAGCCGGTACCTGAGGAGGGGCAGGGAGACCCAGGGCTGGGCTGAGCTGAGGTTCTGGCCTTGATAAGCCCTCACCCTTCCCCAAGGCTCCCTATTTTTGGGGATCCCTGAGCCCCTCCCTCTCAAGCTCAAGGGCTCACTCCAGCCTAGGCCTCCCTTCTACCACGCCCGATGCTGTAGAGGGAGGCACAGGGCAAAGGGGAACCAGAGCCCAGGCTTCCCGGGTCCCCCTAGACAAACAGCGTCCACCTGAACTCCCCCAGTTGCACGGCTGAAGCTGGAGGGACAAGCGGGCACCGATGGAGAGGAAGCTGTGTGCAGGCAAACCTGGCCCCAAGACTCTGCCACTGTGTGACCTTCAAGCAGTCACTGCCCCTCTCTGGGCCTGGATAGCCTGAGCTCCTCTTCCCACCCTCATTAGTGGGTGCAGAGTTTGGGAGGGATCAACTTGGTCCTCCACACGCCTGAGGGTGGGCAGCCCTAGGGGACCTGTGCCCTTCTCCTCACCCTCAAACTGGGGGTCCCCGGCTCCTAAGAGTTGGGGGGGGGGGGTTACGAATGCAGCATCCCGGCGCTCCACGCATTGCTATTGGCTAGAGATGATCTCACCGCCTCCCGGCCTGCGCGCGCCTGATTGGCCGGCGCGGATGCTGCGCTCCCGGCGGCGCGGCCGTCATTCAGGCGGGCTGGGAGCGTGTGTGAGCCCGGGGCAGCGCTGGGTGACGCTCCCGGCGTCTCCTGGGGCTCGAGAGGCAGAGCGCGGAGACCCCGGGTCGGGGTCTTAACCCCTTCCCACCAGCCGGCGCCCGGCCACCCCCTCGGGCTCCCGCAGGTATCCCGACCCCGGGCCGAGCCGTCCCCGAGGATGCTCTGCAGAGAGGCGGGGTCCGGGTCCTCCCCTCCACCCCCTTCCGTTTAACCCTCTCGCCGCCGCGGCCGCCCCTGCGCTGCCCGCCGGCCGGGCTGGGGACCTGCGCCCCGAGCACCCCCAGGGCCACCTGGGGAGCAGCAGGGTGGCGGGCGCGCTGGCCCCAGCTCAGGCATCCCGCAGCACCCGCGGCGTCCTGCCCCCCACTTCGGACCCCAGCCCGGTGCCCCGGTACAATGGGGAGCCAGGTGGCGGGGGTCAGCCCAGAGCCCCAGTGCCGGCCGCAGGACGCAGGACCTCCGGGCGCCCGCGCCCAGACCCGCTCCTCCCGCGGGGGAGGAAGCACCGGCAGCGCCCGCAGCGTGGAGTCTCGGGGCGCTCGGCACCTGCACCCCGCGGGGCGCCCCGAGGTGAGGCCGGAGACCCCGCCCCCTCCCGCGCCGCCCCGTCCGGCCCCTCGGGCTGCGGCTCCCGGCCCCGGCGAACCGGTGCCCATCCGGCAGGGTCGGCGCCCTCACCTGCACCTGCACGAAGGAGCCGCGGTAGAAGCAGCAGGCGGCGGCGGACAGCGCGCTCCACAGGCTGCAGCGCTCGGCCATGGTGCGGCCGGGCAGGGGGCGGCGGCGCCGGGCTGGGGCGCGGGACCGACCGGCTGGGCACCGGCTGCGCTGCCTCTCGGCGGCGCGATTACCTCATCGCCTGGGCGGGGGAGGAGCGGGGAGGCGGGGCGGGGAGACCCCACCCTCCGGCCGGCGGGGAGGGGAGGGGGCCATTGTTCCTCCCTCCGGCCCCCACTCGCAGCCTGCGCCCCCCGCGCTCGGTCCCGCGCTAGCTCGGGCCGCCGGGAGCCGGGGCGCGGGGCTGAGGGCTGGCCAGGGGGTGTCAGGGGGCCTGGGATGCAGGAGGGAGAGGTGGGCTGGTGACGGCGGACTCTGGCCTCCCCAGCTCCCCGCACCCCTCCAGGACCACAGCCGGCAGGGACTTTTAATGAAATCGTATCTAAAACTGGAAAAAGAAAATCGCTGTATCTTTTGGACCCAGTCCTTTGTGGCCTCAGGAAATCTCCGGGACTCGAGTTTTCTCATCTCTGTTCCGGAGTCGCATCCCCGACTGGGGGTCCAGAGCGCCAGGGAAGCCCCAAGGGTCAGAGCACCAGCCGGGTTCACCCTGCCTCTCCCCTACCTTGATGCGCCCCCCCCCCCGCCCGATCTGCTCCTTGGAGAAACATCTGGAACATACAGCTAATACCTGTGTGACCTCAGGGAACTCTGAGTGTTTGTTGGCTGAGAGCCCGCATGGAAGTTGCCAGGCACAAAGTAAGTGCTCATCCAGGTGTAGTGGAGCACACCTGTAATCCCAGCACTGTGGACGCTGAGACAGGAGGATGGCCAAGAGTTCAGAGCCAGCCTGGGCTACTAGTGAGTTCAAGGCCAGCCTGAACTACATAGCAAGACCTTGTCTCCATCAATCAATCAATCAATCAATCAATCAATAAAATGTAAGTGCTCAGGAAGCACCCGTTACTGCTTTCCAGCTTAGTAAACCCTAGGCTCATAGGCTCTTCAGAGGCCTGGCATCCAGACCCCTCGCCTCTCTGGGTCCCCGGTGTTTATTTCCTATAAATACACCTGAAGGGGCCGGGGATTTAGCTCAGTGGTTCTGCCGCCTGCCTTGCAGGCACAAGGTCCTGAGTTCGATCCCCGGTACCAAAATAAATAAATAAATAAATAAATAAATACACCTGAAGCTCTGAGCGTGGAGCCTGGCACTCTATGGTCTTGGAATTTTAGAACCAAAGGATTCCCACTGAGCTTTGGGGACTCTGGAGTTCCAGAAGCCGACTCTTCAAAGATGCGCACCTCAGGGCCGGACAGAGCTTTGGAAACTATTTATTCCAATACTTGTTGCAGGCTCAAAAATAAAACTAACATTACTTTGATTTTAGCCTTTGAGGGCTTGTTTAATCAGTTCCAGTGAGCAGGTGTTATTTCTTTTAAAATTTTATTGCACTATGGTCTCATAAAAGTGAAGAAGAGTTGGTTATTTTTGGTATCAGGGATCGAACTCGGGACCTTGCGCTTGCGAGGCAGGCGCCGGAACCACTGAGCTAAATCCCCAGCCCTATTTCTTTTAAAATTTAAAAAAAATCTACAGATTTAACTCCATAAACCAAAGGAAAAATGAAAAGCTGACAGTCCTCAGGGATCTCACTACCTTGCCTGGCAGCTAGGATTTGTGGGGTGGTGACACATGGTCCCTGTGCGCCCCATCTACCAGCTTTGCTCCCACACCTGTGGTCTACGGGTCCTGTCTTCCCTCTGACTCACCTGGGCCTGGAACCCCCTCCAGCCCACGCTGCCCTCTCTAGCTTTCCAATCAAGGAGAGTTGACAAGGGAGCGTCCACTGCAGAGGCCTGGCTTCCATGCTTCTTCCTCCAGGAAGCCTTCCTGGGTTCCCCCTCCCCTGCTCCCTGCTGGAAGTCACCCCCTATCTCTAGCTCCATGGCTTCAGACCAGAGCCTGCTGGGGACAGTGGGGGCAGGTTGGAGACACCACTGTGACCCCACTGCACACAAGCAAACACTGAGCTCAGAGGCGAAGTTCACACCCAGGACTGACGCTTGCATGGAGTGCATTGGCCAAGCCATTGTGTGCTTCTGCCCTGGTGCCTGGCTGGGCCGGGAGCCCTTTGACTGCAGGGCTCAGTGCCTGCGCCTGCCGTCCGCAGTGTGCCCAGTACTCAGCTCCGGGCTGGCCCAGGGGGGTGCAAGGCCAAGAACATCGCCTCGGGCCTCAGCATCTGCAGGCCCAGCTCTGGCCTGTGACAGCTGTGTGGCTGTGGCCGAGTCACTGCGCCTCAGGTTTCCCACTGTGAATGGTCACACAGAGCCCCTCCCTGCTCCCTGCCGGGAAGGAAGTCAGACCTGGCGCATGCTGCCCAGGAGCCAGCACAGGTCCCCACACAGCTCTCAAAGCGTCAGTTACCCCTGCCACCATTAGATGCTCATTTCGGAACAGCGTCTGCTAAGATCCCAGTGCCAGTGAACCCAGGCCCTGAGCCTCCCGCTGAGGTCTGGAGGCTCTGGCAGCCCTGTGGTCTCCCGACCCACGGCCCCGCCTTCTTACCTGCACGTAGTCCCCGCTGGCCTCCAGCTCTCCCGAGGCCCTGCAAGGAAGACAGACAGGTGAGTCCCAGCGCATGGCCCCAGGCCTAGGCCTCTGCCTACCTCCCGGGGCAGGCAGGCGAGCACCCGCTCCTCAGTGCCCCAGGGCTGGTCCTGAAGGCAGGAGGGGGCCCAGAAGAGGCAGCACTCACTGGGGTGGTTGGCCTGGCTGTGCAACCCTGGGCAAATGCCACCACCACGCTGAGCCTGGGTTTCAGCAAATCAGGAATAAAGCCAGCGCCTGCCTAATCATTTGTCCCAGGGAGTCATGAATGTCCCATGTGTAACACGGGTCTGGTTCCTGAATCGCTGGGACTCCGTGCTCTCCTGGTTCGCTGCTCCTGCTCCCTGCCTCCCTGCCCGACTGCAGGCATTGGAGGCCCCGTGGGTGCGGCCTTCTCTCCTCCTGGCCAGCACCCAGCACGCACAGAATGATTCCCCTGCTTTCCGGTGGAGCCTGGGGAGGCCTGAGAGGCCGTTTCTCTGGGGTCACAGTGGAATACATATCCCTCTTGTGAGGGCCACCAGGGGCCACCTCCCCCAGCCCCACCCTGGTGCCGGCCTTGGTTCTGGCGCTGCCACACCAGCTGTACAACCTAAGACAGCGCCTTCGGAGGTAGGAAGGCATCCTGGGCTACTCACATTGGTCCCCGTGCATCGTCCCATCTCAGTGACATGGCTGAGGTTACTGTTGTCATCTTCTGCTGCATCCTCCTGCTGATGTGGCCAAAGGATTTGCCTGACCCCAGCCACGCCCAGCCCAGCAGGGAACCGGGGAGCACTTGTTGGCCTCCTGGCCAGGACTGCAGGTCCTCCCATCTCTGTCACGTCCCCTCTGCTGCCAGGCAGCACCCGAGGTCACAGCCAAAGCCAATCATGGGCACACCTTCCAGGAAGGGGCTCCCACTTCTCTCTCTCTCTCTCTCTCCTTTTATCTCTCTCTCTTTTTTTTTTTTTGGTAGCGAGGATTGAACTCAGGACCTTGAGCTTGCAAGGCAGGCGCTGGAACCACTGAGCTAAATCCCGGGCCCTCCTTTTATCTTTCTTGAGATGGGAGTCTTGCTGTGTTGCCCAGGGTTGCCTCAAACTCCCAAGCTCAAGAGATTCTCTTGCCTCAGCCTCCCAAGTACCTCCCAACTACACAGGTATAATCCACCATGCCTGGTTAAACTTCTTTTTCTGTGTGTCTGGGTGGTGTTGGGGATGAACCCAGAGCCTCATGCACTCTGGGCAAGTGCTCTACCACTGAGGCACACACCCAGCCCTCTTATCTCTTGAGGAACAAAATTTATCTTCCCCTCCAAGGCCAGCTAAATATCATCAAGATGAAGGGTGCCATTATTGTGCTGGAAAACAGGCATAAACCAGGTCATGCTGTCCCCAGCCTGGAAGTCAGTAGTGAGCAGTCTGGCGGTTTCTGAGGTAGGGACCTCACCAACCCTCTATACATCAGGCCTCCCAGATCCTTCTGCCCCAGCCGCATCAGCCTCCTTGCCTGCTCATTCCTGCCACAGGGCCTTTGCACTTGCTCCGAATGCCATGCTCCAAATGTTCTTCCTCAGATGATCACCTTCACCTTCACCCCTGTTATTCAGGGCGCTGCTTAAAGTCACCTCCTCCGAGAAGCCTTCCTGGAGCACCCACCTAGAACACCTGTCCTCCTTCACGAACTTCCCAGCCCTGCTTCACTTTCCTCAGTTTTCCAATCCCTGCCTGAAATGACTGCTCCACTTTTATTTCACTGGACAGTTGGATGCTGCCACTAGGGTGTGGGCTTTGTCTCCAGCACCCCAAACCACCAGTCCCCAGCAGAGCACCGGGCACATTCCAGCAGCTCAGGAGCTTAAAGGGCTGCACGACCATCACATCTGTCATCTCAGGCTACAAAATGGGGAGGGAAGGCTGGACATCAGGGAAATATTTGCTCAAATACAAGAGTCTAAAGGGGAGGGTGTAATCCCAGCACACGGGAGGCTGAGGCAGGAGAATCTCTGTGAGTTCGAGGGCAGCCTAAACCACATAGTGAGACCCTGTCTCAAAAAAACCAAAAAATCAAACCAAACCAAAACCAACAACAAAAAACACAAGCTTAATATTCAAACAAAATAAAGCTGAGGTAGAAAATGAGTATTACAGGGTTCCTGGCTCCTTAGGCCAGGGGCTCCTCATTGAGAAAATGTTGGTCTTGACACTATGGGGTTCCTTGTTGCTGACAAGGCCTCCTGGAAGTCCCTCCTGACATCTAGCAACCGTCCCTCAAGCTGTCCTTGGCGGCGGTAGCTTCCTCAGCGGGGTAAGGTGGACTGGGGCCTTCCCGGGTGAGGTGTCCATCCCAGCCTTTCCGGCCATTGAGGCCCGGAAATCCTCCCACTTCTGGGAACAGAGGAGCCAGGACACTGGGATCGGCCGGCGCTTCCTCCAGCTTCCTGTCCACTTCCCCTCTGGCCCAGGGGTGGGAATGGAGCCCTGGGGATGGGGTGCCCACCCCAGAGGTCAGCCCGGGTGGGGTGGCTGGACCCAGTAGGGTGCTCAGGACAGCGGCCTCGGCAGGAAACCGAGGACACTGGGACAACAGCCCTCACCTCCCCAGCCCTCCAGAGCGTGCTGGGATTTCCAAGCCACATGTGACCATGGCCACCTACACTGGCTGCCATCGCTTGTCTGGACTGTGACCACCAGCCCCTCCCCCACCACAGCCCACGACTCACTCTGCAGTGGCCACCGCAGTCCTTTTAAGGGAAGTCAGCTCACAGCTGTCCCCTGCTCCCACCCTAGGCGTCGCCTCAGTGTCGCTCCAAATGAGAGCCCAGGGTCCCCTCACAACCCCGCAGACTGGCTCCTCAGCACCTATGCCCAATCATGCCTCTTACCTGGAAGCTTCATACTGACCTCTGCCCCTCAGCACCAGGGACCTCAGGGCCTTTGCACCTTCTGTCACCTCTGCTGAAGCCCTTTCCTTCCAGAGGTCCTCAGGATTCCCTCCCTGCTTCCTACAGTCTTCTTCTATGGAGCCCTTCCCTGGCCACTAGTCTGAAGCGTGACCTTCTCCACAGTGCTGAGACCACAGGTGTGGGCCACCCCACCTGACTTCAGCCCCAATATTCTGTAGGTGAATGAAAGTCCGAGCAGCCCCTGCTTCCCCAAGGACAAAGCCCAGTCCTCTTGGCTTGGCCCAGCTCTTTCTTCTCACCTTTCCTTCAATCACAGTCTCTTAAAACTTCCTCCAACTTCCTCCACCAAGCACCACTCCCTGAGGCCTCAGGGCCTTTGCACACGACATTCCCTCTGCTGTCTTATCCTCTCCCCTTTGCCAGGCTGCTCCTATTCAGTCTTCAACTCTCACTTTGCTTGGAGATTTCCAGAACAAGCTCCCCCTCATTCTGACAATCAAACCCAGGAACCCAAGCATCCGTTTGTAATTAATTAATTAATACCTTATTTTATAGATTTAAGACATTTTCCCTCTAATATTAGTAGTGAAATCAATAAGTAGTGACAATAGAGCCAAATCAGGCCCATTCATCAGCCACATTAATTATTTAAATAACCAACCCCTTTAATTGCCTGTATGAACTGATTTGTTCTGATAACTGATACCACTTATTGCATATATTCGCTTCATTAATTGCATTCATGAACAGTAATTAAAGCCCATTAGCCTTTATTTCCCCAGCGCGTATTTAAATCTGAACTTCACCTTCAGGAGCTCTGGCCAGGCCTGAAGGAGAAAGGGTCAGAGGCAGGGCTGCCCCAAGGGACCCTCGCTGTCCACCTCTGCAGAGCTCAGTCTCTGTCCCAGTTCCATCCTCCAGCATTCAGGGCCTGGTCACCCAGCCCCGGACGCTGCCACCTGCTTCCCACTTTCCTACCCTGCCCGAGCCCCCTGCCTCCTCTTCTGGGGCCCAACTTCCTTACCGAGAACTGGGCACACTCGGCCCTGGAGACCCCGGGGTCTCCCCACCCCGACCTCCACTCGCCCAGCCAGAGAGCCATGGGCATTGCCTGCTTGGCTCCTTCCTGCCTCAGGCCTTGGGCAGAGCGGCTGGAAAGCCCCGGGACTCCAGCCCTGGGCTGTGGGATTCCCTCTGGCATTAGCCCCTGCCCCGAACACCCCGAGGATGGGCCACCAGGGGCTGGATGGGTCCCTGCGCCTTCCTCACCTGGTGGGGAGAACCTGGGGGAGAGCAGATGGGTTCCGCTGTCCCCAGGCAGAGCTGAGGCTATTGAGCTCAAGGCTGCGGACTGACACTCAGGACCACCGCTTGCTGGGCGTGGTGGCACACACCTGTAATCCCTGCACTCAGAAGGCTGAGGCAGGAGGAGCGCTGCACCTTCAAGGCCAGCCTGGGCTTCAGAGTGAGACCCTGTCCCCCAAAAATAAAAGCCAAAACCAAAACAAAATGAAAACCAGTGCAGAAGAGCAAAGAGCAGGCAGTGGAGTGGTGACTGCATGCCTGTGACCTGGAAGCCCCTCGACAGCCCAGAGGACTGAGGCTTGGAGCTTTACCCAGGGTGCATGGCTGCTCCTAGCAAACAGTTTGGCCTGAGCTCAAGCTCTCTGCTCTATTTCTCGGCAGGATGGTCTCCCCTAGACATCAGGAGCTGCTGCTGAGTGGAAACAGGGGAAGCTGGGGAGCAGAGGGTGAAAAAAATAGTGTTTCAGGGCCGAGGATTTAGCTCAGTGGTTTCGCCACCTGCTGTGCAAGAGTAAGGACCCAAGTTTGATCCCCAGTACCAAAAAAAGATAGTGTTTCAACCAGGCAGGCTGGGTGTGGTGGTGCACACCTGTAATCCCTGCACTTTAGGAGGCTGAGGCAGGAGGATCTCTGCAAGTTCAAAGCCAACTTGGGCTACATAGTGACTTCAAGGCCAGCCTGGAAGACATAGTGAGATCCTGCCTCAAAAAGACAAAATCCTAGCAGGAGCCCAAACCCAAGGCCAAGAAGGGGGAAGGGGTGATGGAGAAAAGACCCTCTAGGCTCCCAGGGGTCCCCAGCTGGGAAGTGGGAAGCCGTTACCTGGGCAAACCCCCTCCATGGGCCTGTTTCCTCTGCATAAGCAGCTCCGTTCCTGGCACTTCCTGGGTCCAGGCTGAGGAGAAACGCTGTATCTGCCATCTGTCTGGGTCCTCAGCGTACAAATGAGGAAACTGAGGCTCAGAGAGGGGAAAGGCTCCCTCCCTGGATGTCTGAGCTGCTGAGTGTGTAGCCCCTGAGCCCCAGGCCTCCCAGGTCAGGCAGCCTGCAGACAGGGCCCCCTGGGGGGGGTGCTGCTGCAGTGGGGAGTGGTGGGAGTGGGGGATGGCCCGTCCTTCCCCAGGCAGCCAGGTTCCCACAGCCCGAGGCGTCTGGGGGTCTCGGGGACTGTGAGAAAGTCTCCACAGGAAATGAGAGCCCAGCCCGGAGCAGCTGGGCCCATTCAGATGACAAGGACGGGCGAATGGCGTGAGCCCAAGGAGGCCGCAGGGCCCCGGCCCAGCGCCCCCTCCCCACTGGGTAATCGCTACCAGATGCCCGGCCACTGACGTCACTCGCAGGCCTAGAGAGGGTCTTGGGACTCCAGGGAGCCGGGAATGCTTGGACCAGAATCAACATTCCAAAAGGAAATGAGCGGGGGTCGCAGCCGTGGCTGCTTTTTGGTGCCTGGCACTAGGGCCCGGGCAGGGGCAACACTGGGTGCCCCAGCTCTCCTTCAAACAGCTCCCCTGGGATGAGGGCCCCAGTGGTTCGATGGGAGGCAAAGGACACTTGGGCAATGCAGTACTGAGGGAAGGAGAACGGTTTCAGATCCTCCTAAGGGGAGAGAGTGTCTGAAAACACGTAGGAGCAGGCCCTCCAGCCTGAGGCCAGCTGTGGCTCCCATCTTGCCAAGCCAAGGCCAAGCCATTTCCCCTCTGATTTCTCCTCTTGCCACTCCCTATCTCCCCCATCCTGCTCTGGTCTGGTTACTCTGGGCTCTGTCTTTGCTTCTGAAACATGCTGAGGACTCTCCTACCTCAGGACCTTTACACATGCTCTCCCCAAACCTCAATAAGCACTTTCTCTGACAGCAAAAGGCTTTGTCCCTCACCTCCTTTGTTCAAACATCACTTCCTCACAGAGACTTTTTTTTTGGAGGGTACCGGGGATTGAACTCGGGACCTTGCACTTGGCAGGCAGGTGGAGGAACCACTGAGCTACATCCCCAGGCTCTCACAGAGACATTTTTCTGACTAATCTTCCTAAATTGCCACCACCAGCCATTTCCCCCAAGACCAATTCCCTCACTTGATTTTACATTTTCTTGGTGGCTGTTTTCTCTCCTAGTTGTCCACATAACTCATCTGTCTGCTTTACCATCTCTCTTGCCTGCACTGGCATTAGGGTTCCAGGGTAGGGTCTTCGGGGCTCACTGCTGTCTCCCCAGAGCCTAGCAGCTTGAGAATCTCAGTAAATATAAACATGAGTGAAATGCTAAATCCACTGAGATCCCCAGCACATTATTTCCTTTTGTTTCTTGGTTTTGTTCACTTGTTTTTGAGACAGGGTCTCAATAGGCAGTCCAGGCAGGCCTTGAACTCATTATGGAGCCCAGGTTGGCCTCAAACTCACAGCAATCCTCCTGCCTCAGCCTCCTGAGTGCTGGGATTACAGGCATGTGTCACCATACTTGGCTGCATCTCATTATTAAGTCAGCATTGTAAAATGGGTTTCCATCACCTCCTGCTCAGGGTGTTCACCTCCTGCTCAGGGTGTTATGTAAAGTCACGTAAAATAATGGTAGACAAGGGCTGGGGATTTAGCTCAGTGGTGCCGCTGCCTGCCTCACAAGTGCAAGGTCCTGAGTTCTATCCCTTGTAGGGCAAAAAAGAAAAAAGTTAATTTGTATAAAATAATGGTAGACCAAACTTTGAGGTTTTTACTTACAGGTGGGGAAAAATGACCTGTAGGTTAAGATCTTGGAGCTGGAGATTTAGCTCAGTGATGCTGTGCCTGTCTCGAAAGCCCAAGGTCCTGAGTTCAATCCCCAGCATCACAAAAACAAACAAAGATCTTGGCCTTGGGTGTTGGTCAGGCCCTCTCCAACCCTCAGGCCTCACCGATAGAGTAACAGAGGCACCCACTCTCCAGGGCTCGTCAAGGCTGAGTCACCCACTGTGAGCCACTGTGAGCCGCACCAGGACCATCTCCTGAGACCCTGGCCTGACACCTGCTGTAGGGCTGGGGTGGGCAGTGTCAGAGCCCCCGACTCTCTCCAGGCCTCACTTCCTCCTCTGTGCTGTGGGCTGAGGGGGCTCCAAGGCTCTGGGCCCTGCAGTCTCACCAAAGGAGGCCCTGGTCCTTGGGTGCTGGGCAGGAGCTGGCAGCCCCTCCTCCCTCCTTCCTGCTCCTCTCATGATCTCATGGTGAACAGAGCACCAGGAAACTCCTGCAGCCTCACCTCTTCCCCTTCCTTCCTCCTGCTCCAGGTGCACCCTGCCTCCCAGGGGCTGGGGACCGACACCTTGTGCAGCCACTGGATGAGTGTCCCTCTCTGGTTGCTCAGGCAGGGGGCCCATCCTGCTCTCTGGGGGTTCTTACCCCCCAAGAAGGCCAACGCAGGCCCTTGTGGGCTACTGGGGAGCAGATGCCTGGAGTCAGCAGGGCCATTGTGGTCATGAAAGAGAGGGATTCCCCTGGTGCCTGGCACAGGGCTGAGGTTTGGGGACTCTTGGGAGAAATGTTCACAGGACTTGGAGGGCAGGTAGGACACTGGGTCTCAGGGCACCAGGACAATGCTTCTAACTCCCCTCCCCAGAACTTCTGGATACTCAGGTGATGGTGGGGGAGTCTGTCCACTTCCTCTAATAGCTCCAGGCCAAGCCTGAGGCCAGGACTAGCAGGCTTCTGCCTACAGGGAGAAAGGCTTGGGTGGGTCTTGACTTGACCTTCTTGAGGCCCAAGACCTTCACTCACAGCCCCTGGCCCCAAGGGAGGGGTGTGTATTTCAAGGGTTAGTGCACCGCCCTGCTTCCAGCTTCCACTTACAGTGTCAGACTGGCAAGCAAACCTTTCTTTCCTCATCCACAAATGGGGGTGCTAAAAATCCCTCTCTCCTTGGACTGTCCTGAGGAGCAGATGAGCAGATGCCCAGCCTGAGCAGAGGCAGGGCTGGGGACAGAATTATAGCCAAAGAAAGCTGGCTTGGAATAGTCCAGATGGCCAGGCGTGGTGGGTGGCACACGCCTGTAATTTCAGCACTCTGGGAGGCTGAGGCAGGAGGATAAAAAGTTCAAGTCCCATCTGGCCTATTTAGTGAGATTCTGTCTCAAAATTTAAAAAATTAAAAAAGGCCTGGGGACACAGTTCAGTGCAAAGGCCCTGGGTTCAAGAACACATGCGCGCGCGCGCGCACACACACACACACACACACACACTTTCCAGATGCCAGACCCATACCCAGGTTTGTAAATCTCTCCTGGGGTGCGAAACTCCCCCTGCTGCCACTCGTGCCTTGCGCTGGCCCTGCCCGGGCCCAGATCAGTCACTCACCTTCGAGGCCCCAGCGTGGGGCATCTCCTGCCCACTGCAGTCATGGTTCCCCGCGGTGGGCCCCAGCAGCAGCCTGGAGACCTCCTCAGAAAAGCTACCGCCTTTCTCAGACCACCAAACCACGGAGCTCAGAGCTGGACTCCAGGGGCGGAGCTTGACCTGTAGACCCCGCCCCTCCACGCCTTTCTGCCTTCTGGCCTGCCCCCTTCACCGCCTACTCCTCCAGTGGAAAGACCCGCCCCTCCGCTTCCTCCCTCGCTCCGCCCCTCCCCCCCCCGTCAGTCTAAAGCAGGGGAGGCCACGCCCCCAGAGCGCACTCCTCCCACCCTTCTCGCTCCGCCCCGCTCCCCCGCCCGCTTTCCCTACAGTTCGCCCTGCCAGGAAAGGCCACGCCCCTAGGCACGCCCTCCCCGCCCCTCTCCCGTGAAGGAATCAGCGTCCTTGGGGGGAGGAAGCTCCCAGGCTCCCAGGCTCCCTGGCTTGGGGAACCTCAAAACTCCCGGGGGCCTACTGGGCTCTTATCGCTGCACATCCCGCCCCTCCACGCCTGATTGAGACTGAATTCAGGGAGAGGGTGTCCAGAGAAGGAGCCTGGGGCGCCCGGGGATGTGCAACCCGGTTGGGACAGAGGACTTCCCCACTGCAGTTCGGTTTCTCATCTACTATTTGAAACAGTTGCACCCTCTTGCTAGTTTTCTCTGAAAATGTTACAGGTCAGGGTCAGCACAGTGCCTGGTTGTAGTGAGCACTGCAGATTTCTTCTTTTCGGCCCAGATGTTCCGGGGCGGGGGACACCATCCCTCCCGCCCCTGGCCAGCACGTACCCTTCTGAGCACGCATCCCGGGGAACTCTGCCCAGCTCGGTGCCTGCTGTAGGGTCCTCAGGCTTTCTCATAGGGTCCGAAGGGCCGGGTCCCCCTGCCGGCATGTCCTCCAGGAGGCCACCAGCCTCCACCACATCCCTGGCTGCCTCCAAGCCGGGTGGGTCAGGCAGACCTCGAGGGGCCACCTCCTGGGCCTTCTGGGTGGCCTTTTTGTCCCGAGCCTTCTTGAGGTTGGGCCTAGGCATGGTGCCCATGTGGCTATACATGTCACTGGAGCGGGCATAGGCTGAAGGGCTCTTGGGAATTGTCACCATGTCATCCTGTGTGGCTTCGAAGGTGTCAGGCTCCAGAGGGGGCCGGATACTGATGGGGGCCGAAGATCGTCTCAGAGTGAAGGACCGGGGAAGGTTGGAGAGACTCCCAAGGCCCTTGAACTTGAAGAGCTCTGGAAAGCAGGAAGCGAAGGAAAGCAATCATTGACAATGCCAGCAGCATTGATTTTTTTTTGGGGGGGGGGTTACCGGAGATCGAACTCGGGTCCTTGTGCTTGTGCAGCAGGCAGCAAAACCACTGAGCTAAATCCCTGGTCCCAAGCAGCACTGATAATAATAATAAAAACTACACTGCAGCCTGAATCCCAGCACATGGGAGGCGGAGGCAGGAGGGTCTTCATGAGTTTGAGCCCAGGCTGGGCTCCACAGTGAGCTCAACAAAGAAACAAAAATAACCATTGACATGAACCTGGGGGCTGAGGGAGCGTCCATACCAGCCTCTATGTGGAGGGTTGGGGGAAAGGAGCAGGAAGTAGTCGCCGATCCAAGGGTCGTCCACCCGCCCATCTGGGGTCCTCTCCTTCCTGTGCTCCGTTCCTAGCTCAGCCACAGTGCTCAGGTGATACCATCTTTCCCTCACTTCCGGAAGGGTACGGAAGCTGTGAGGTCACTGCTTCCTGCCCCCATTGTGGGACTATCCTCGCTCATGGCTACCACCATCCAAATGAGTAAAAAGGAAAAACTGGCATTTTCCACTTTCTTAGCGTCCTCCGCCTCTATCCTCATACCCACTCTGGGACGTAGGTAGGAGGTTCCCCTAAAGGTGGAAACTCAGGTCCAGAGAGGGAGAAGGACTTGCTCACGTCACGCAGCAAGGCTGTGGCTGAGCCAGATGAAGGCCCATGGCTGGGGACTGTGGGGCCCGGCAGCTTTGTCCCCAGCCCTGCCTGACTCAGCCCCCCATACTGTCCCCCAGTGCTCTGCTCTTAAATGGCTCTGCATGGGAGAGATTGCACCATGGGCCAGAAGGGGGCCAGTGACAGCCCAGCTTCTCAGCACCTTGAGCTCTGTTTCCTGAGCACCAGGGAGCCAGAGGGACAGTAGTGGGAACAGCAAGGAAAACTGAGGCCCCAAGTCCGGGGATGGGATCAAGCCCTACTCCTCACCCCATGGGAACCCAGGCAAGCCTGGGCCTCAGTATTTTCACCTGTGGAACGCACAAACATGTGCACACGCATGATGTCAGATCAGAGCACACAGGGGACAACAGTGTGCTGGGGCCGGTAGGGGCTCAACTGGGGAAAGAAACACAGCAGTGGGTGGCAGTGGCTCGCCCTGGAGCTGTTTTAGGACTTCCAGCCTCACTGCTGATGGGAATGTGGGGCAGCCCCCCACAACGCCGTGTGACCGTCTCCCTTGCCCAGCTGTGAGATCAGAGACTGAGATGCGGCGAGGGACAGAGACAGATGCAGAGACAGACAACCGAGTGGAGAGCTGAGCACCAAACCAGCCGAGAGACAGAAAGAGGAGAGACGGGGCCAGAGTGTGGACAGATGGGGACATGGCGAGATGCTGAGGACAGGCAGAAATGGACAGAAAGAGAAACAGAAAGGAGACAGTGGCGACAAGCCAGATGCAGGGAGAGCCGAGGGGACAGACACAGGGATGGGGACAGCCGCACTCACTGAACTTTTTGCTGGACTTCTTGGGCCCCTCCGTCATCTTGGCGAATGGTGTGAAGCCCCTGGCCAGCTTGACATCGGGGTTTCGATGCCTCCCCCACCCGTTCCCCTTTCTCTCGCCCTCCCCGGCTTCCTCTGTGTATTTTTAAACCCGCGAGACTCCCACAGCCCCACCCCCACCCTCTCCGCAGGGGGCGGGGGCTGGGGCCTCCCTTTCTGCCCCCAGGGCCACTTCCTGGCCTCAGCCCCAGGGGCAGGGGGCACAGCGCAAGCCCATGGGACCTGGGTGGGCCGGGAAACAGACCACAGGCTCTGGGATCAGCGCCCACTGGGCTGGGGCCATGGGGGACCTGCCAGCCTCCATCTGGGGTCTGGGATGACACTTTATCCCAAGCCTCGGTGCCCAGGAGACAGACTGACAGCTGTGACAAGCAGAGTGTTGTGGGTAGGCCTGGGGCTCTGGGCCATTGGGCCCAAGTTCAGCTCTTGGCAGGCCATTTAGTCACAATGTGATCTTGGACTAGGAGCACTTCCCGAGCCTCAGTTTGCTTCCTTTGTTCCGTCCGCCAAGCAGAGCCTGGCACAGAATCCATGGCTGCTGAAGCATGGTTGCTCCTTTCCAAGCTAGCAGGTACCTGAGGACTTGATCTTCCACATCTATAGGACAGAGATGGGGAAACTGAGGCACAGAGTGGCAGAGGGGTTTCCCTAGGTCTCACAATGAGTCAGTGACACAGTCTGGGTTACAACTTGGCTTTCCAAACCAGCTGTGGTGGTGCATGCCTGTAATTCCAGCACTTGGGTGGCTGAGGCAGGAGGATCATTTTGAGTTGAGGTCAGCCTGAAGGACAAAGCGACACCCCCTAGCCCCCAGGGCTGGTGTTCTTCCACCTTACAACTTCCTTTGTGTTGGCTGTGTGTGTGCCCTGGGGATGGAACCCAGGGCCTGATGCATTTGCTACCACAGAGCCACACCCCTCGCCCAGCCTTGGCTCCCTTGTCCTGGTTCCCGGGCTGGGACCCTGGCTGTGAGAGAGGGGCTCATGTTTGTATGGGCCCTTCCTGCATCCTCCATGTTGATAATGGCCCCCAAGTCATGCCAGAGGGAACAGGAAGCTGCTTGTCCAGCCACACAGTATGCGGGGCTAACTTCCACAGAGGCCACCTCCCCAGGCATGGCAGGTGGATGCGGTCCTGTGGGGAAGCACCTGGATGAGCCATTTTACTTTTTTATTTTTATCATCCTGGGGATTGAACCCATGGCCTGTGCACTAAGCCACATCCTCCCCAGGCCCTTTTAAAATTTTATTTTGAGATAGGGTCTCGATACATCAAGTTGCCCAGGATGGGGCTGAACTCGCCATCCTCCTGCCTCCGCCTCCCAGAGTACCGGGATTATAGGTGTGGGCCACCACACCTTGCTCAAACTGAGCCTTCTGATAGGGTGAAAAGAACCCCAAGGGCCTGTGGGGATGGGACTCAGCCCTGAGGTCATGCAGCAGAATCCTGCTCCCAGACAGGCCCGGATGCCCCCCGTGCTTGAAGTGCCAGCAAAAGGGCAAGGTTTCTGGGCCGTGGACTTTGGGGCAAGGGTCCCCAACCCCAACCCTACTGCTGAGCCAGAAGCCCCCACAGACTATCATTTAGATCCACAAACAGACCCAGTAAGCAAATCCTGGTACTTGTCCCCACTTCACAGATGAAGTTGAGGAAACTGAGGCCAAAGAGGAGCAGATATCAGACAGACAGACAGGCTTCCAAACTCCTGGACTGCTGCCCAGGTTGTGAGGAAACAGAGAGGATCTTATAGCCTGGTGGAGGCTGGGGGTCTTCTTCATGAAAGGCAGAGTGTGGATCCCAGTTTTTCTCCCAAGAGACACTTCCAGGGCCCGGTCTTTAGCTCAGTGGTTCCGCCGCCTGCCTCAAAAGCGCAAGGACCTGAGTCTGATCCCCGGTACCAAAAAAAGAAAAAAAAAAAAAGAGAGACACTTCTAGTGTGACTTAGGGTAACTGCCCTGGCTGTGCATCAGCCAGTACCAGCTTCCTGCCAGGCCAGCTCCCAACTTGCTGTGTGTCATGCACAAGAGACTTTGTCTCTCTGAGCCTCAGTTTCCTTATCTGTGAAATGGGATTCCGGCAGCCCCTGCTTCCTAGGAGACATCCTGACCAGTACATTGGGCCTCTTGGGGCTGAGACAAGGTGTATAGGAAGGAGGCTCGCTGATCGAGGCCACGCGAGCCCCAGTGGCGGGCAGGCACACCATGTGAGCCTGGGAGCCCCAGCTATGAGAGCTGCGTTGCTGGGCAGAGGCGCCCTGTCAGCCAGGACTAGGCTCAGACTGCTGTTGGTGGGCGCCAGGGCAGTTGCTGTCCTCCCTGGGAGAATGAATGGGACTCAGTGTGCTGAGCTCAGAGTCCCCTTTGTGCTGCCTCGAGTGGCCGTTGGGAGTGCGGCCGGAGAGCTGCTGGCAGTGGCCATCCCACAGGCCCAACCCAGCCTGTGTTGGAGGCCAGCCCAGCCCACCACATGCTGCAGCCCTGAGCACCAAGCATAGGGCCCAGGCAAAGGCGAGTTCAGGCCCACTTGCATGACCCTGGGCAAGTTGTGTCGCCTCTCAGCCTTTTTTCCTCACCAGTAAAATGAGCCCTGTACAAAATCAGAGGACCTTGCGGAGGCGACCATTTGTGTTTCATTCACTGTGTCTTTATTTGCAGGTTCCAAAGAGACCTTAAACTGGGCCTGGTAACACACCTCCCAGCACTTGAGAGGCTGAGGCAGGAGGACAGCCCTGAGTTTGAGGCCAGCCTGGTCTACAGAGTGAGTTCAAAGCCATCCTGAACTACATAGTGAGATCTGTCTCAAAAAACAAAAATCAAAGAGACCTCAAGCTTCCCAAGAGAGGAATGGGCCTTTCCCACCCTCCTTGGCCCTTGCTCTATGGGAACTACACTGCAGGGGCTCAATAGATGCTATTCCCTGGTTAACCTGCTTGGCTGGTGCTGGGGACAGTGTGAGATGATGATAAATGACCCTGAACTTTGAGAGCCTAGCGATCTGGCTTTAAATCCCGACTCAGAAGTTTCCTGGCTGTGTGACCTTCAGCAGGCTACTTCTCCATTCTGAGCCTGTTTCCTCTTCTGTCACTTGGGCCCAATAAGAGCAACCTCCTAAGAAGTGTCAGGGAGACGACGCATGTCAACACAGGAGACAATGAAGCGGTGGGAGCAGGACTTCCACAGTCAGGCAGGGCCTGGGTGCCACACAGCCATTCTCTGTCCTGTGTCCCCCACCCAGGGAATTTTCCAGCAGCTGAGAGTCTGTCTTCCCTTCCCTTCCATGTGCCCCACCTGTCCCTGGTCCAGGGAGGAACACAGACATCCAGACCAGGGTCAAAGCTGGCCAGTGGCTCCTTTTCCTACTTGGTGCCTCAGTTTCCCTAATAGTTAAATGGCACAGGACCAGAGACTTTCCTGGGGCCTGCTCAGCCAGCTAGTCAACAGACATTAGCTGAGGACGGGCCACATGTCTGGACCTTGTCAGTTTAGTCAGCCTACCAGAAGCAGGTGACACCACTCAAACCAGCTAAACAGCTGGTGTGGTGGCCCACGCCTAAGTCCTAGCACTTGGGAGGCTGAGGCTGCTGTGTTTTTGAGGCTAGCGTGGGCTACATAGTGAGTTCAAGGCCAGCCTGATCTAGTGAGATCCTGTCTCAACAAAACAAAACAAAACACAGAAAGGGGCCGGGGATTTAGCTCAGTGGTTTCGTTGCCTGCTGCGCAAGCGCAAGGACTCAAGTTTGATCCCCGGTACCCCCCCCCCCAAAAAAAAACCACAGAAAAAAAGCAAACTAGAGGTTAAAGCAAGTGGGATGTCACTCATTCCTCCTTCTTCATCTGGCTTTTACCAGCTTTTGTGCTGCGAGGCCCAGGCCTAAGCAGCTGGGCAGCCTTCCAAAGGGCTCGTGACAGCTCCTGCCTCCTCCTCACCAGGGCTGAGGGCCCATGGCCCTGAGGGGAAGTGACTGGCAGATGTCAGGGTTCAGGCCAGGGATACTGCGGTGGAGGTGGCAACATCACCGGAAACTCAGCTAAGTCCTCTGCCACAGGATGTGACTTAGGGAGAGTTCATGGGAAACAAGCAGCAGGCTTGGGCCTGAAAGTCTGCTAGCACAAGCCAGGCAAGCCAGGGGCAGATCTGCCAATGCTGCTGTCCCTTCCCACATCCCACCTTGGCCCTAGGCCATGGGGCTTTGCTTGGCTCAGATGGGTGGGGCCCTGACATCGAAAGTGTTTGGCGTTCCACCGACCTGCTTCATGCACTAGTGTGGCCACTCGCCAGCTGTTTGACCCTGGCCAAGTAACACCACTTCTGAGCCTCGGGCCTAGCACACACAGTGGAGGTGACAGTAGTGCCCACTTCATTTGGCTGACAATTGATATAACTCACATAAAGCGCTAAGTGTAGAGCTTAGACCATTTTCTCTCGAGAAATTGTAACTACTGTAATTATTTCTCCCTCACTCCTGATTCAACAGCTTCCTGCTTTTAACCCATAATTTACCCATGAAACCTGCTCTAGTTCATTCCCTGACTTGGCTCCACACTGCCCCCAGGAGGGGGCTCCGCGTTCCTGTTCTTCCCCTTTAGTCTGGCAGGGCCTTTCCCCAGAACAGGGCCACTTGGGACACCAGGTCACTCAAAGCATTCCAGTCTTCCAGGAGGAGGCTCTAGGGGACCACAGTGTGGGGTGAGAGCTAGGAGCAATCCGAGGGCTTCCTGCAGGTGGAGAGGGAGCACAGTCCCTAGGGGAGGAGGGTGTGGGAAGCTGGGGGGGGGCGACTTGAGATCCATCCACAGCAGGATGGAAAGGAGGGGACAGATTGAGGGTGAAGAGGAGGTAGAAAAGACAGTTTTGCTGGGCTGCTAACTAAGCAGAGCTAGAGGAAGAGGCGGGAGGCTCCCAGAGCCAGGAAGATGCTGGGGAAGGAATGGGTGGGGTAGTCGTGGGGGTAAGGAGGGCTTGGTGTCTACAATAAGAACGGCAGGCCCCACTGCCATCCTCCTGGCCAGACTGTAAACAGCGCGAGCATGAGATTCTTCACACTGAAGATTCAGCTTCATGTTACTGTGTGACCTTGGGCAAATGACCTTCCCTTTCTGAACTTTAGCGTCCTCTTCTGTAAAATGGGTGAATGGTCCTGAGTGTGGGACCACTGGTTCAGGATTCAGCAGGACCCCTTAGCGCTTCCTGGACACTCAGGGGCGCTGAATAAATCTTAGCCAGACCAGCTCTGGCGCAGTTTGGCCGAGGCAGAGATCTTTTGGGTCTCATTCCTGCCTTCTGGAAAACCGGTAGTGGGGTGGGGCGCAGGGGGTCCTGGGCTAGAAGGCCTGCTGGCGTTGCTCGCTCACCGCCTCCAGTGTCGCCGCGCCCCCTGGCGGCCGTCGGTTGCCATGTCAACGGCCGTTGGCGGGGGCTTGGCGGAGGCGTCGGCGGGGGCCGATCTCTCCTCCCAGGGCCGGAGGCCGCTTCCTTGGCGCCTCTCGACTTCGCCTCTGGGGGTGCACTCCCAGCCGAGGATGAAGGGGGCTCCCCGCGGCAGCTGGTGCTGAGGGGTAAACTGAGGCAAGCGGCAGGGAGCCCTGTGGCCAGGTGTCAAGCGTGGGGCCCCACCTCCGAGGGCGGAGGAGGGGCCGCGGGCGGTGACGCGCCGAGGGCGGCAGGCGGGCGGCGGGCGGCAGGTGCGGCCGCGGAGGGCGGGACGGCGGAGGGGGAGGGGAGGGGAGGGAGGCCGGGCACCTCCCCCTTTATAACGCGCCCCCTCCTGGGCTCTCGGGCCGCCTCCTCGTCGGCGCTTCCCCGCTCGCCCCTCGCCCGGCTGCCCCGGGTCCGGGGCCGGGCAGGGCGACCCCCCCCCCAGGCCGCGGCTCGGGGACCGCCCCCCCCGCCCGCCGCCCCGCGCAGCCCGGCGGAGGCGGCGCCGTCGGAGGAGGAGGAGGAGCAGGGGACTGCGGCTGGCCCTGGATCGGGCGCCAGAGCGGCAGCAGCTCCGGCAGCAGCGCGGTCCGGGCCGATGCAGCGGGACGCACCACCCCGAGCCTCAGCCCCAGCGCCCCGGCTCCCCGCGCCCCCGATCGGGGCTGCCGCCAGCGGTGGCGGTGGCGGAGGCGGGGGCAGCAGCGGTGGCGGCGGAGGCGCCTCTGCAGCTCCGGCTCCCCCTGGCCTCTCGGGAACTACAAGTCCCAGGGGGCCTGGGGGCGGCCGGCGGCCGGAAGAGGCGGGATCAGCACCGCGAGGCAGGAAGTGGCCGTGGAGGCGGAAGTGGCGCGGCCGCGGAGGGGCTTGGAGCGCGGTGGCGGGACCCGGAGCGGCGGCGGCTGCAGCTGGGGCTAGCGGCGGCGGCGCGGTGGAGGCGGCCATGGCAAAGCAGTACGACTCGGTTGAGTGCCCCTTTTGTGATGAGGTGACCAAATACGAGAAGCTTGCCAAGATCGGCCAAGGGACCTTCGGGTAAGGCTGGGCCCCGAGGGGCCGGAAGCTCTGGGCCTGCACCTTTTTAGGGCCCACGTCTGGATGCTCAGGGCACGGCGCGAGGTGGTTTGGAAGCCGCCAGTCCCCGGCGCTGTTCCCTGGCCTCGCTAGGCCGAGCCGCAGCCCGTTCGGGCCTGCCGGCACCGGCTGGCGGAGAGGAGCGTGAGATCTGAGGTGGGGGGCGGGGAGGAGTTGCAGGGAGGCGCCCTGGAGAGGAGCGGGATCTCCCCGACCGACGCCAGGGTGAGAAGGGATCTGGGATGGAAAACAGGCTCGGAGAGAGACCGCAGAGACCGGGTGGTGGAGCAACCGCGTGCCCCGGTCTCCGGCCCCGCCCCGCCGGGATCTCCTTCCTGTCTCCGGGGCGCTCTTGGGGGAGGGGCGGGCCCTGCGGAATCGCCGCTGAGCTCCCCGGGCGCTCCCTCTTCGCCTGCAGGGAGGTGTTTAAGGCCAAACATCGCAAGACCGGCCAGAAGGTGGCATTGAAGAAGGTGCTGATGGAGAACGAGAAGGAGGGGGTGAGTATGGGTCCCGGAAGCCAGCTGCCCTGGACGCCGGCTTGGGTATTCGCCCTTTGCTTCTAGGAGTTTCATGTTGAGATTCAGTTTATACCTAGTAGCTCGGAAATTTCTATATTGTAGGGAATTTTTAAATTCAGTTTCAGTTGTTTTAAAGTAAAGCATCTGATGTTTCAGTGTTAGGCAACTATGGGGAGGGTGAGGAGGGACAGGGATGCTTGCATGTAGTGCTCGGTTATGGAAATTGAGCAACCTTTAAATACTTTTACCTTAGGGTTTAATTTTTTTAATGTAAAAGGGATGTACTGGCATATAGTTGTTGTTTGTTTTCTCTTTCTCTCTTTATCTCCCTCCCTCCCTCCCTCCCTCCCTTCCTCCCTTCCTCCCTTCCTTTCTTTGAGACAGGATCTGGCCATAAACTCACCATGCAGCCCAGACTAGCCTTGAACTCAAGGTGATCCTCCTGCCTCAGCCTCTCGAGTACTGGGATTGCAGGAGTGCACTACCTGTTTTTTTAAAGTAAATGGAACTCAGGGAATGTATCAGAAAGGAATGGTCTCTCTCCTAACCCCTGCTTAGCAGCTTTAGTCTAGCTTCCTAGAGACCTCTTTCTTAGCAAGGAAATTTCTTAATCTTCTTGTTTTGTTTTTGAGACAGGATCTCACCATGTAATCCAGACTGCTTTAGACTCATTATGGAGCTGGGGCTGGCCTTGAATCCATTGTATAGCTCACGCTGTCCTTGAACTTGTGGTGTCCTCCAGCCTCAACCTCCCTCCTGCTAAGGGATTACTGGGGTGTACCACCATTCCCTGCAGGAAGTTTCTTTTGTTTTGTTTTTTGAGACTGGGTCTCTTTGCAACCTCAAACTGATGGGCCCCCTCCTGTCTCAGCCTTCCTAGTGCAGGCGTGTGCCACCACTCCCCACAGATTTCTTAATTTTTTTTTTTTTGGTACTGGGGATTGAACTCAAGTCCTTGCGCTTTTGCGGCAGGCGGAGTAACCACTGAGCTAAATCCCCAGCCCCAGATTTCTTAAATCTTAAAAACAGCCATTGGGGTTGGGAGCCTGAGGTAGGATCACCATCAGTGCAAGGCCAGCCTGGACCACATAGCAAGGACCACCCCCTCCAATTTTTAAAAATTAAATTAAATTTTGTTTTTGTTTTTTCTGGTACTGGGGATCGAACTCAGGACCTTTCGCTTGCAAGGCAGGCACAGTGCCACTGAGCTAAATCCCCGACCCTAAAAGTTTAAATTTAAGTTTAAAATTTTATAGTTTAGTAACAGATGTTTATGCCTGTTTCAGTTCATTGTCTCAAACCAGCTCCTTGAGGTGTACATGCTACTGTTACACCCACTTCATAGGTTGGGGATCCGAGACAAGTGATGTCAGCACATAACCCTCTTCGTCCTGACCTGGTTCCCTTAGTGTGGAAGCGGGGTCAGCTCCTTGGTCTGCAGCACTGTCACTTCTGACCGATTTCTCTTTCTCCTACCCAGTTCCCCATCACAGCCTTGCGAGAAATCAAGATTCTCCAGCTTCTCAAACATGAGAATGTGGTCAACCTGATTGAAATTTGTCGAACCAAAGGTGAGTTGCTTGGCTCTTGTGAGACAATGGGGCTTCAGTCAGTGGAGCTTATACAAAACCTAAGCTGGAAGCCTTTAAATTGCCACCTCCTGACCTCAAGACGCCCACTGCTTTCTTGTCCTTCATCAGAGCCAGTGCTTCCTCCACCTGGCCTGGTGCCCACCAATAAAGCAGTTGTACCCATGGGTGCTCTAGGGGGTGGGAGCTGGTGATGGGCAAGTGAGTTGGGTGTAGCGGTTTGACTCCGCCTTGCCCTTTGTGCTTCAGCTTCCCCGTATAACCGCTGCAAGGGCAGCATATACTTGGTGTTCGACTTCTGTGAGCACGACCTTGCGGGGCTGCTCAGCAATGTCCTAGTCAAGTTCACGCTGTCTGAGATCAAGAGGGTGATGCAAATGCTGCTCAACGGCCTCTACTACATCCACAGGAACAAGGTGGGAGCGGGGCCTGGGCTGCCACTGTGTGGGTGCAGCTGAGGACCCTGGGGCTCTGGCTGAGCCCTCCTCCCCTCTGTCCTGTTCCTCTGCAGATCCTGCACAGGGACATGAAGGCCGCCAATGTGCTCATCACTCGGGACGGGGTCCTGAAGCTGGCAGACTTTGGGCTGGCCCGGGCCTTCAGCCTGGCCAAGAACACCCAGCCCAACCGCTACACCAACCGTGTGGTGACTCTCTGGTACCGGCCCCCGGAGCTGCTGCTCGGTGAGGATCCCGAGCCAGCAGAGGGAGGCAGGGGCCGGGTACCTGCCCGGCCGCAGCCTCTCACTGCCGGGGCTTCTTAGGCCTCTGGCCCCGGGGCACCTCGTCTCCGGAGGCCTACTGGCTCAAGGGGCCCTCCTGGTGCGCTCTTCTTCCCAGGGGAGCGGGACTACGGTCCGCCCATTGACCTGTGGGGCGCAGGGTGCATCATGGCTGAGATGTGGACCCGCAGCCCCATCATGCAGGGCAACACGGAGCAGCACCAGCTTGCCCTCATCAGCCAGCTCTGTGGCTCCATCACCCCCGAGGTGCGTGACTAGGCTGAGTGGGGTCTGGGGCTATGCGGCAGGAGGGTCTCCTTGGTGTGGAGGGGTGGGACATGCAGAGCTCCCCAGGGAAGGGGCTGCACGAGGTTGGGGCCTGGGCTCTGGAGCCTACTGGGCCCTGTTCGAGTCTCAGCCTGGCGTCAGCTGCCTTTGTGGCCCCGTGGGCAGGGCATTTAAATCAGTGCTAGGTTTCTCTTTTTGTTTTTTTGTGTTTTTTTTGAGACAGGGTCTCGATGTCCAGTTCAGGCTGGCTTTAAATTCACTGTGTATTCCAGGCTGGCTTCAAACTCCTGGCCATCCTCCTGCCTCAGCCTCCCCAGTGCTGGAATTATAAGCATGCGCCACCACACCACCTAGATTTCTTTTCTATAAAACAAACGCGCTTGGTGGTGCACACGTGTATTCTCAGCACTGTAGGAGGCTGACACAGGAGGATCGAAAGTTCCAGCCTATCCTGGGCAACTTAATGACATAGCAAGATCTGTTTCAAAATGAAACAAAAAAAGAACTGGGGATGTAGCTCAGTGGGAAGGCCCTGGGTTTGATCCCTGCTGCTGCAGGAAAGAAAATGTATGCTTGTGTCAGGGTTGATTGGCATGGGCATCCCAGGTAGCTTGTGTGAAAGGCCTGGCACTTGGCGTGTGCCACATCTGTGGTGCCTACTGGTGCTTTTCCCTTGAAGGGGTGTGGCTCTCCCTTAGCAGTGGTCTGGGAACATCTGGTGGAGATGCTTGACCCGAAGAGGAGCTAACTCTGTCCTGTCAATGCCTCCCTCCTAGGTGTGGCCAAATGTGGACAAGTACGAGCTGTTTGAGAAGCTGGACCTGGTCAAGGGCCAGAAGCGGAAGGTGAAAGACAGGCTGAAGGCCTACGTGCGAGACCCGTATGCCCTGGACCTCATTGACAAGCTGCTGGTCCTGGACCCTGCGCAGCGCATCGACAGTGATGACGCCCTCAACCACGACTTCTTCTGGTCTGACCCCATGCCCTCGGACCTCAAGGGCATGCTGTCCACCCACCTGACGTCCATGTTCGAGTACCTGGCTCCGCCACGCCGGAAGGGCAGCCAGATCACCCAGCAGACTACCAACCAGAGCCGCAACCCGGCCGCCACCAACCAGACAGAGTTCGAGCGCGTCTTCTGACAGCTGGGCCTCCCGCCCTTAGTGCCGTTCTTTTACTTCTGCTATGTGACTTGCATTGTGGAGACCGTAGGGCATTTCAGTTCTTTACCATGTTTTATTTAATCCCTGCCAGGGCACCAAAAGCAACTGGCTGAGCAGACTGAAGTGGCGCCGTGGCTGAAGGCCAGGGGGCCGCAGGGGTCCTGTGCCCCATTGCTGGGTCTCCGGTCACCTTAGGACAGGAAGTGAGGCCGGAGAGATTCGCCGAGCAGTGACTTCCTCAGAGCTGCGGTGTGACAGGAGGAGGGGACGGGCCCCTCGCTGTCCCCAGCCGTCCTTGCGATGATGAGAGATGTGTGAGGAGCAGAGCTGGCCTCGGGGACCTTCTGCCCTTGGCCCGGGCCTCGGGAGCACCGGGGCCAACGAGGGCTCTTGGTTTCTTCAGTAGGAGAATTTTATCTTGTTTTTGCCTCCATTGTTCAGAGACATTCCTGGTGAAGTTCGGTCAGTTATAATTAAAAGTTGACTCTTCTTTTTCCTTCTTCCGTACGTGCTGTGTTTTCTGTGCTCAGACCGCATGTCTTAGTCTGCAGCCAGCAGTTAAGAGTTGGCCTGAAGTCGCCAGAGGTGTTGACGCTTTTGTTTTTGCTTTGGAGACAGGCAGGGTCTCAGTCTGTGGCCCAGGCTGGCCTCAAACTCGCAGCCTGGGATTGTGAGTGGGCCACCACACCTGGCCCTGTACCCTTTTTTCTTTTTTTTTTTTTAATCTCCTGGTGTCGTAGTTACTTGTCTCATTGCTGAGACAAAATGCCTGATACCCAGAAGTTAAAGGGGCAAAGGTGTTTCTGGCTCAGTTTGTGGAGCTTTCTGTCCATAGTTAGGTGGCCTGGAGGCAGGGCTGCATGGCGGGGGAGAAAAGTCTATAGCAAGGAGGCAGCAAGGTTGTTGATTGGTGCCACCAGCACCCAGGGTGGGGCGCCCTAGTCCACCTTCGCAACTCCCCACCCGCGATGCCTGGGGCTTCCGGGGACTCCTAGATGCCAGCTGTAACAGCTGGGTACCTTGCAGACCAAACACGTGCATTCCAAAGGGTGGGTGCGGTGCCCCTCGACCTTCGGGGGCGTCTGAGGTGAGGAAGGGGTCTCGGTGCCCTGGTGAGTGGAGCCTCCGGCGTCTGCTGTGAGCCATGTCCACCCTGGTGGCTCCGGGGTCCCGGTCTCCTGAGGCTGACACACACCTTCAGAGCCCAGAGGGTTCAGTCATTGGAATGACAATTACATCTGTGACTTGCAAAGGTCATTTAAGCTGCTGTGTGGAGGAAGTGCAAAAGGAAGTGACCAGAGGAGCGGAAGGATGGATGGCTGTGCAGATGACAGGAGGGACAGTTGGCGTGAAGGTGGGTTCATGGGGCTCGGCTGGGACCCAGTGAGGAGCAGTGTGTTCTTGTGGGTACAGTTCCTGTGATTTTTTTTGTTTTTTGTTTTTGGTACTGGGGATCGAACTCGGGACCTTGCACTTGCAAGGCAGGCGCTGGAACCACTGAGCTCAATCCCCGGCCCAGTTCCTGTGACTTCTTGGGACTGCTCTCACAAAGCACAAACGTGACAGGTGTGGTGACACAAGCTCGTGATCCCCTACTTGGGAGGCTGAGGCAGGAGGATCGCCACAAGTTGGAGGCCAGCATGGGCTACATAGCAAGACCCTGTCTTAAAACCCAAGTGGCACAAATAAGCTGGCCCATTCAGTCCTGGAGGCTGTCACACCCCATGGAGACTACCTCCATCTTTCCAGGGATGTGGCGCTTGTCTTCCCTGGCTGGGTCTGTCAGGAGGACCCCAGTCACTGGGTTCAGAGCCCACCCGCCTCTACCATAGCCTCGTGCCACCAAGTGACGTCCACAGAGAGCCTCCTTCCACAGGAGGCCGCATGGAGTTCCAGGACTGCAGGGATATGGAGAGAATGCTTCAGCCCAGTGTGGCTAGGAGTCAGATTAAAACGATAGGGTGCCCTAAGGTTTTGAATATTAGCTTGACGGAAAATTTGGGACTGGCCAGTTCTTCAGAATGTCTTTTCTTTGAAGGAAGAGGGCTTCCATACAAGTTTTTTGTTATTGTTTTGTGGTATTGGGGATTGAGCCCAGGTCTTTCACACTGAGCTACGATTGCAGCCCTTTTTATTTTTGTTTTGTGGCAGGGTCTCACTAAGTTGCCCAGGCTGGGCTGGAATTTAGGATCCTCCACCCTCACCCTCACAGAGTGCTGGGATTATAGGTGTGTAACCATCACATCTATAGCCTAGATTTGGTTTTTTTGCAGTGCTCAGGATGGAACCCTCAGGATGGAACCCGGGCCTTGTTCCATGGTACACAGAGCTACACTCCCATGGTTGGTATTCTTGACCCTGTAATTCCACTCAACATACAATTTTTAGAATGATTGAACAGTGAGAGTCTATTATCCCATTCATTCCCCACCACAACCTTACTTTATTTTTATTAGTACATGTTTGGCGTGAATAATGATTATGTTCCTCGGGGAGCTGGGTATTGTGGCACATGCCTGTAATCCTAGCACTCAGGAGGCTGAGGCAGGAGGATCAATGCAAATTTGAGGCCAACCTGGGCTACATAATGAGTTCAAGGCCAGCCTGAATTAACAATATTCTGTCTCAAAAAGCCAAAAAACCCCACTTCTTGGCCTTTTGGCTAAGATCAAGCATATCAAAAAGCGAAAAAAAAAAACAAAAAAAAACTTGGGGAGCTGGTACATGTACATAACAATCTTAATTCCTTTTATGATCCTTTTGCTGCTTCTCCCCCCAAAACCATATTTATTTATATATATATATATGAATATACTTTTTCTTTGCAGTACTGGGGATTAAACCCAGAGCTTTTGCACTAAGCTGGATTCCCAGCTCTTTAAATTTTGAAACAGGGTCTGGCTAAGTTGCCCAGGCTGCCCTTGAACTTTCGATCATCCTGCCTCACCCTCCTGAGTAGTTGGGATCACAGGCATGTGCCACTGCCCCTGGCTACACCATATTAAAACAACCAAAGCAACCCCTAAACCCTGGAGCTACTTACTGTCTCCCAGTTCACCCTGACCCCCTTCCTCAGGCCCCCTAAAGAGGAGCTGGGACCCAGCCCCAAACCCTGGTGTGACATGGGCATTGCAACCGTCTGTGGAGGGAGCACGGGGCACAAAAAAGTACCCAGCTTAGGCCCCAGCCCTGATAGTGGCCAGCACGTGCAGGTCTCTGAAACAGCCAAGTTGAGCCCGGGAAGGCCAGACAGGTGACAGGCTGGGAAACGGAAAGCTCTTTACTGGCTCATTTCCATGTGTTTTTGTTTTTTGTGGGGGTTTTTGTTTTTGTTGAGGCAGGTTCTCCCTTTGTAGTTCAGGCTGGCCCTGAGCTCACTATGTGGCCCATGCTGTCCTCAAACTCCTGGCAATTCTCCTGCCTCAGCCTCCCGAGTGCTGGGATTACAGGCATATACCACCACGCCCAGCCATTTCTATGTGTTGTTGTTTTTTTCCTTTGAGAAAAAACCCTCCTATAAAAGGGACATATTTATTATGAGGACATCATATACAAGGTACAATCCTCCAGTAGCCTAAAATACACATGCACACTGTACATAAATTTATATTGTCAATATAAAAATACATCATCAACATTTCTAAGGACAACAAATACGAACCCAATAAATATTGCAGTTCTAAAACTTACATTAAGTGCTGGTGAATAAGATGACAGATATTGAAGGCAGAGGCCAAAGCAGATTAGAGAACCAACTCTTGGCTTCCGGTTTCAGATTTGACTGGCTTGGGGGAGGTATCCAGTATTCTCCATGTACTTCTCAATTCCCCAAACACTTCACAGTGCCTGACAGCATCAACTTTCAAAGACACAAGGAAGAAAAATTCTGTATTATGGCACTAATTTGGGTCACCTTCACACACGCCCACACATGTACTCTGACTGCATTTAGGGAGATCAAACACCGTCCATCATAAGCTTGATTAAGGCCTCTACACCTGACCCTTTCAGAGAGCACACCTGCGAGAGTATTTTCCTTCTCACAATCATCCTTTGTGTCCTGTGCTTATTTTTTTTTCTTTCAAAAATTGAAATTGAGGGGCTGGGGATTTAGCTCAGTGGTTCTGCTGCCAGCCTCACAAGCACAAGGTCCTGAGTTCCATCCCCAGTACCAAAAAAAGTGAAATTGTATGGATGGTCAGAAGGCCCAAATAAGAGAAAAACCAAAAATTAGCTCTAGCATGGGAAATGCACAAATGTCAGAAAATGGTCAAAGAATCAGTGGTTAAGCTAGAGTTCGGTGCCTTAGCGGACACTCAAGACCACAAATTGGCTACAGATTTCCTGTGTCTCAACATTGGACTCCCCACAGGGATAAGGTACTTCATGTCCTTCTCAAAACATGCATTACTGATTTTACCTATGGGTGAGCTTTTCAGTTTTGGTTTTGTTTTTTTTCGGTACCGGGACTCAAACTCAGGACCTTGGCACTTGTGAGGCAGGCATGGCACCACTGAGCTAAATCCCTGGCCCTAGCTTTTCAGGGTTTTTTTTTTGTACCAGGGATCGAACTCAGGTCCTTGTGCTTGCACAGCAGTTGGTGAAACCAGTGAGCTAAATCCCCGGCCCAGGTTTTTTTTTGTACAGGGGATTGAACTCCGGACCTTGCTCCTGCCTCAAAAACGGTGGAACCACTGAGCTAAATCCCAGGCCCTCTCTTCAGGTTTTAATGGACACATAACTGGGGAAGAACTCCGTGCGAAGTTGTGTGTAGGTCGGGAAATTCTTTCTGTTTTGGGTGTGTGGGGGGTGTTTCTGCCATTTGGGGTAAGGATCTCCTGCATGCCGTGATGGAGACAAGGGGAACAGAATGTTGTCTCCATCCCACAGCACACACTAGGTTCACTAGGGACTCTAGTTTTCATTCAAATGGGAACTCCCACAAACCATGCCCTTTCCCTGTCAGGCCATACTGACTTGTACTTAAATCTCTAACAGACAATTCAGTGCAGTCAGCATGGGCCTTTTGCTCTTCAAGCTACTGAGGAATCTCCTGGCCTGGAGTCAGACCTGGAAAGTGCGGAAATGGATGGCAATGAGGGTGGGACTGTCATGAGAAGGGCAGGACTTTATTTATTTATTTTATTTTTTGGTACTGGGGATCAAACTTGGGTCCTTGCCCTTGTGGGGCAGGGGCAGAACCACTGAGCTAAATCCCCGGCCTGAGGGTAGGATTTCTACGTCTTGGACTTCTCTAGCATGTTGAGGAACTTCCCTCGTGTTGTCTCTCTGGACTCATCCAGCCCCAGCTGATAGGCCGGGTTCTTTAGGCCTTTACCTTCTCCATCAAATTAGCTGTCATGAGGCTTCCCAGTTCTTTGAACATATCAACGTCATCACGTTCTATTTCAGCCATCCACTTAGGTGGAGAAGTAGTAATAGGACTTTTGGAGGAAGCTGCAAACTCAGCAACACCTGGCAATTCTGGCTGAATATCTGGTGA